TCGTTTCGCTCTCGCTAAAGCTCATCTGTAGTGTACCTCCACCATCTCGCACAGGTTTTGGAACTCCTGACCCATCGCATGGAAGACGTGTTACCACTGTCAAAAATCTCACACTCGGGATAACCGGACTCGTCTATTCCAGGTTGGATGATTACGAAATACACAGGCTAGGATATGTAACCTAGAAATTAAACAAAACGTCAGGGTCGAACTGCTTTACTTGTAACGGCGTATTTGTGGCAACGAATTTTCCGTTCAAATGCGCCCAAGTATACGATAGCGTAACATTGTGTAAGTTAGGGCCTCGCCACATTCTACTTGTTCCACGGTACGCAAACACAGGGCACAGACTTCTTATTGTTGGAAGTATCCTCCATGCAAAGTGCAGGCCTCAAAACTGTAAAAGCAGAAATGAGAGCGCTGTGGTGCAGTACACGAAACTTTCAGGAAATGTCATTACGACACCCCAGATGATTCAATCTAACCGATTTGGAGAAACACCACAAGCAGTGAAACGTGAGTATTGTATTGTTCAAACCATCACAGAGGTCAAAAAAGGAAAATATAGGTAAATGATAAAAGAAAAAATGTGACTAGAAATGCCATGATTGCACCGTACAAGAGTCGAATGCAATGAAGTATTATTCAGACAGAATACGACTATCCGAATGGTTGACCGCAAGATCAGAGAGGAAATAATGTGCCTTTGGGTGATATCGGTCGGGATCTGAAAATGGGAATGAAAAATTTATTGTAAACCACTTGAGACTTTAAAATTTTCTTGTGTGTATTCCCGCAGAGGGAAACAAGACAAAAACACAAATTAAATACCCTGTCTGATAGCTGTGAAATTAACTGCGTTAATCGGACGATGACGTGATAAAAAAACAAGGTATTTCTAACCTATGAGGCAAATTCCATGTTCTACCATTAGGTTGTTGAAATAGATCTTTCAAAAGCACGTGATACTTTCAGCTGTCTCACCTTATCGCTTCAATTTTCTTCTTCGTTTCTTCTCTCCGGCTGCATCAGCATCCTTTATTTGAATGTCAAAATACCACGCAAGACCAAATGCAATGATAAAGGACAAAATTACTAAACATGCAAAGAATATGTAGAAGGTTTCTTCGTCGAATATGTCCGTGAAACTTGGAAGTGCAGATGAGGCTCGCGCAACAATTTCACTGGCAACATGTCGCTTTTTTCGCATTTCTTCGACAAAATTTGTTCTGCTTACCAGACAGTAAATGCAATGAGCTGAAATGGGAGAAAGAACTATTTCTGGAAAACAGTGTAACGTGTATTTGAGTACCATCTAATGACATGGATTTAAGTAATCAGTTCCACGGTCAAAATGTGTAAAAGTATTTAGTAAACAAAACTGACGGAAGTGAACTCAATCCGCAAACACAACGATCAAGTAAATGAAGATTCAATTTGAAGCTAATTTGCTGAAAAGATACTGTGAACGAAAAAAACTGCGCAGAAATACCTTTATTTCTGCACCTACCCCTATGATGTCTGAACCTTTAGTCCGGTAAACATTTTTTTAAATGTCCAACGATTGTCCGATGGGAAAGGTACGAATTTTAACGATTATGAAGAGGATAGAACTGGCACGTTAAACCTTGATGTTTCCGGGAGCTTTGTATATCACAGAAGTGTAAGCAGTCTGTTGATCTACCATCGAGCATCTGGAACCGAATGGATGCAACTTTTTGAATCGGATGGTATCGTTGTTTTTACTTCCCTACATGGCTTTTTATTCTAGAGCGGGAGCTACGAACGGCGCTGAAACGCCCGTATAAGTGGCAATTCCGACACGTGGGAGTTTGAGGTTATTAGTTGAGTACTGAATTTTTACCTTCTCAGTTTCTATTTAACTTTGTTATATATTTGGTTTTCGAAACAGTCCTATCCTCGTGCGAGGATAGTAGCATCAATTTACTCCCAAGTGGTAGATTGTCTAATTGGTAGTACACACACGACATTATACTATCAAGTGGCTTGTAAACAAGCATGATGCCAACGCCACAAGAATAACAATAATAGGCTGCAGGTGGAGTGGAATACAGAGCAAAGTGGAAAGAGGGTGAAACGGTTAAACATACAGGCAGACTTGTGTAAAACATAGAATATATAAGCAATTAATCATGCACTTTTGTGCGCCGGTTTTGGTTTCTGTTTTTTGTATCAAGCATTAAGAAAGACAGGAGAGTTGAAAGTAGAGTCGAAGTGAAAGTGGAGAACTTCAGTAGACTAAGATTGCAAAAACTGAGAAGATACACAAACGACCTTGTTTGAAACGCTCAGGAATATATATATATATATCAGCTCAGTTCAGTTTTAAAAGCACTACGCTAATACTTTCGTGCGCCGGTTTTGGTTGCCCATTTGCATAAAAGAGCGAAGTGAAGATTGGAACGTCGAAGCAAATTGAAGCAGAACATAGGGAATTCATATAGAGTGGTGTTAGGAAAATAACGAGTGGATGCACGAGCGCCACTGTTTACGACACACAGCCATATCACTCAGTGTCTCTAACCATCGGTGATCATCATCCCGAGGTCCCCAGCCAGGGAGCCTAACNTATGTGACCTAGTCTCCTGGTTAGGGTTTTCATATCCTCATGCCAGGTCTAAGT